GACAGATATAGTCTGCCCCAATCACAAACACACCATACAGCAGACAGCATAATATTTTTAACCCCAGTGCACTCATGAAATGAAACAGGTCATGGAAACAAGGACATTTAAGTGCTACTTGTAATCTTTATCATAGGCTATCTCAAGCTATTTGCATCTCTCTTCTGGCACTCAACCAAGTGAAACACACCCTGTGCAGGGCTGTGTACTATTCAAGCCACATTGAAGGTTCATACTAAGATGATGGGAGTGCCACCAGGAAGAGCGTCCAAGGGACTTAAGAGACTGATTTCATGTAAGAGTTCAAAGTAAAAGTGCAGAAATAGTAGTCTGAGAAAACATGAGTGTAACAGCAGTTCTTCACCTGCCAGTGGACTGAATTGCATGTTCCCTGTTTTGGGTTTTACTAAACAGTGGAATCCTAGCACTGTAAAGTATCCCTTCAGTAATGTAGGGCCATGGACCTTTCCCTGTCTTTTTGCTCTGTTCCTGTATATAGATTTCTGCAGGTGAGATACCACATTTCCAATTGAGTCACAACCTAGAGAGCTGAACTTCAACTAAAAGCTATTATGATAGAACACACAGAATAATATATAAAGATGGACTATAACAAAACTATGAAGTATATGCCACCTTTATAATTAGATGGACAGAATTAATCATTAAAAAAAAGAAATAAAGAAAAAAAGATCTTCCCCCAACTGTAGTTAGCAATTCACATCTTTTCCTTTCCTTTAAAGAGTAGATAGGGTTTGTAGGTAAGTTTTTGTTTCTCTAGAAGGAAGGGGAAATGATCACTTATTTATACACAGAAATGAAGCTGCTGTAGCCCTCCTAATCAGTGTTTTGATGATCTACAGATCATGGCAGCACTGCTTTATTAATTGGTCCCAAGTTAACAAAACCAGCTTTGTTCACAGAGCCATTCCAGTAGTAAGTAAGTGCTGGAAAATGCTAAATTTATCAATAGGTGTCACTTATTTTAATGGCTTGAGGAGCATCCAAATATATCTAGATTATCTTGAAAAAAATGTGAATAATTTTATTCTAGTTGATCTTGACCACTATAAGGCTGTCACGTTCTAAATATTTAATAACTCTGCTTTTTTAATATTTTGTCTTTCATTAAAGTAATTTCTAATTTCTCAAAGTATATATAGTATGATGTAAGTCCTATCCTATAATGATCATCTTAATGCTAGGCAGTACAAAATGTTAATGTAGTCTACTTAGAAAGAATATATTTTGTAGTGTGTGCACATCTCTTCAAATTTCCTTTTTTTTTTTTTTTTTCCTTTAAAAATATATCTAGTTCATTCTGATATTTGGGTTCCTAAAAACCACTAAGTAAAATTTTTCCTTTAAAAATAAACATAACAGAAAAACAGTTTTAATGGACATAAGTATAAAATAGGATATAAAACATTTGGATTGAACAATATGACATACAATGTGATGATTATTATGAAGGCATTCTGGGAGGAGGAGAAAGGTTTTCCTGCTCAAAACATTACCCTTTCGTACCTCCCTAACCTGTGTTTTTCTCTGGAATGTTTCTGTGGTTAAGATATTCATTATTCATCCACATCTTCGTAAGGATGCTCTGGATGCAAGCTGGGACCCCCAGTTTAAACAGATCTTAACTGGTCTATACTTTTCATTATTGAGCAGTTCCATTTGTTATGTTTTGAAGAGTCACTGTTAACTTTTACATGCCCCATGCCTCATTTTATGTAGTTAAATGTGGGCTCTAAATGAGCACTTCCATTTGTGGCATCTGTTGTGTTTCCCTCTCCAGCCACCCTGTATGTCCCTCCTGCTGGGAAAACCTGAGCTGACACAGTTGCTGCTGGCAGTGTCACTGTCTGCTTTTCATCCAGAAAAATGAGTTCTGTGTCTTAAACATCCTAAAGGAGGCTGAATTGGATGCTTTATGTCATTCTGCATTTCACTCAAGCAGCAAAGGTTACTCCTTCTCTATTCCCTTCATAGTTGCGATCATGTTACTCAATAGCAGTATTTCAGAAAGGCTCTCATGGGAAACGGGGTGAATGAGATCAATGCAAAATTGCAGAACCCTGGGATTCAGCATTCTAGAAGCATTGATTGTACTAGGAAAACTGTGAGCTGAGTTACATGTCATTTTTAGCATCAAGGACCCTCCTTCCTGTGGTAAACAGAGTTCTAATTTTCGAGGATGTAAGATAAAAAGGGCTTCTGGATGCATTTCATTTGGGTATATAAGAAAACAAGGCATATTTAAGCACTGACCTCAGCAAAACAATGATTACCTGTGTTTCTTGGAGGCAAGCAAACCTTTATTGTGGTCAGATATTACAGACCAAAACAGAACAGCAGAAATTTTATGTTGTGCTCCTTCATGCACAGTGTGAATCTGAGGATCCATGGATCCACTTGAATTTTAAAAGCATCTTTATGTCAGATGTAAAATCTTCTTTATGTAAGAACTCAGCGAGCTGTCTGACCATAGTTTGTTCAACAGTATGTGCTGTGGTTGGGGATACTTCCCTCCTGCTTGGGGTCTGTGAAAGGATAGCAGGGATCAGGGTATTAACGACCGGGTAACAGAAGCTTAATAAATTACTTCCCATCAGCTGAGCTGCCCTCACAGAACAGTTCATGTGCTACTCTAGCCTGTCCCCTCCCCAAGTAAAACGCAACAGTCTGCTACTCTGAGCTTTCCCTAAGTTGTATTAGCTCAGAAGCAGGCAAGGCTATTAGTGAGCACACGAGCTGTTACTAACAGCTAGGAGATTCAGTTGGTACACAGTAACTTCTTAGACCAGTGTAGCTCTCACTTAAATGTGTAAGCCCCATGTCTTGTTCTGGAAATCAATGTCTTACTCACTTTGGTAACCTGCTCTCCCCTTGACAAAAAATCCCCTAAGTTCAAGTTTCTCAAACCTATTAAATGCTGTTGTTCTCAGTTTATTGAAATTAATGCGAGGCAGCTTGGCACATTTTAAAGGAAATAAAATGAGGTTGGAGGTTTGAGCTCTGATACACTTGACATATTTTGCTATGATAGGGAGGTTTTGCTTCACAGAAGTTTAATTGCCCCTCATGCAACAGTGAAGATAGACTTTCTAGGTCAAGGTCAAGATTCATAGGTGGCAAATTAAAGAGCCTTTCTCTGAACTAGTTCTTGCTCTAAAGACAATAAAACATATTTCTGGAGTCCACATGGGAATGCTACTTGCAAAGACCAGATTTTCTCCATTACTACTAAAGAGCAAAACTTTTCCAGCACAAAATCCTCATTTTTAATTTCCTGAGAACTTTAAAATGTGGTATTAGAAGAATAAAAGAATGGTAACTGGCAGTAACTTTTTATATCCAGTTCTCAGAACACAGCGGAGTGCAGCAGGTCTGTTTTGAATTACCTCCCATGTTTTAGGGATTCTGAACCTACATTTTTTTTCCCTCCCAGGAAAGCATTCTAACCAAAAGATTAGACTGTAAAGGAGTGCATCTGCTCCCTAATTAGTATGTCATGCAAAATAAACTGCTTCCCTAAAAAAATGAGAAAAATGCTCTCTTGCATACTTACAGATATACACATGGTGCAACATACAGTGGTGATGAAGCACTCTCCAGAAAGAGAGATAAGGATTTAAATTTGAATTTCAATTCCCTGGATAGAAGAAGCTGTGAACTGAAGTACTCCACCTCTTCAGCGAGTAGTTTAGCTACTGAGATAAATGAAGGTAGAAGAGGAAACATCTATTTTTTAGCCATCTGTCTAAAAGAAGGAAATTTTCCATATTTTTTCAAAAGAAACCCTGAACAACAGTTAGCATTTCCCCCCACCTTAAGTCCAGAGAAGGAGGTGTTATTTAAGACATACCTGATTCTTCAGGTTTCCAAATGGGTACTTTAACTCTGTTCTTTATTTCCACCATAAAAGCTAGATTGAAAAGCAAAAAGAGAAAGAAAAAAGCCCTAAGATTTCTTTGTTCAGAATTCTTCATTAAAAAAAGTTTGGTTTTGACCAATACTAATATGGAATATGGTGAAGTGTGTGGAAAGAAGGTGGCTCAAAGTCATTTGAACATTAGTTACTAGCCACTGCCAATGAAAATACAGACATGCTGGCTGATTCAGGAGGAAAGTTCATTTTCCATATTAGGGTCTAAATTCTAAAAATGCATAAATTTTGATGTTGCCCTGCACCTATACAGAGCCCCAGTTCCAGGGTCACTATGCATATGGGATTACCCACATGACACTATGTAGTACATTTATTCATCATCATTCCTCTTGCATAGCAGATTTATGACACTTAAGACCAAATAAGATTTTTTTCTTCTCTCAGTGTAATTCCTTAAACTATCAGTATTCACAATATTCATTATTTATTATATTTGTGTAAAACACTGAATCATTATTGTCACAGAACAAAAATATCAACTTAAGTAATTGCATAACCTTTGAATAAACACAAAGCTTGCCATTCTCTCTTATCACTTAGTATTACTAACTGTTGATTCTCCTTAGCTAGAAGCAGAAGGTAAATGCTTATGAAGCCCTACTACAGTCTTACTGAAAAAAGCACTCCCTCTCAGGTTGATGTATTCTTAGTTTTCCATAAAAAGTCACGTAAGTGTATATAAAAAGAACTTGTATTTTGGCTGGATTTGCCAAAAGCGTTTTCCTGAAAAATCTAAGAGAATGTCTTCTGTCTAAGTACCCTTGGTGCTCATGAAAAGGTAGTGTGGTGTACAGGGCTGGAAGGCTTCTGTCATGTCTGGAAGGTCACTGGTTCCCACTGACCTCAGCACTTGTGACTCAGTTCCAAACTGAAAGCTGAAGGATAAGAGCTAAATGCATTCTGACACTGCTGGTTGAACTAGTTACTTGCTGCAAAAACCGCTCCCACCCCCAAACAAACCACACTACTTTAGGGTTTTTTTTCAGAGCACCATATAAATCCATTTAGAAATATTAATAACACTAAACTTATTCCTTTGTTTCAGGTGAAGACTCTTAGACATTTTATGGAGATAGCACAGCTGTAAGTTGCTATCAATTCAGCCAGAAGTCAAGCAAGGAATGGAGCTCAGTTCTTCAGTTTATCCAGTAATGTACCTGCTAGATTGCTTTACCTCTGAAGGAGAAGCCTACCTTGATTTTCTCACTAATATTTGACCTGATACCAACTAGCAACTGCAGCAATTTCCAACAGGTATTTTTTTGACCAGATTAGAGTCAATGACTTACAAATGAGAACTTCTTTATTCCACAGAAGAGCAAAAGACATTATTTCCTGGGAATTGCAATCTGCCCATTTATCTATTTAGTTTACTTGGGGTTTCTATTTAGATAGAAGAGGCATTTCAATTTTATGGCATATCTGTGGCATGTTATGTTGAACTCTCAAAAATTATTTAATCATTTACTAGTCATGCTTTGTGTCTAGTTAAAGATGACAAGTTTTAATAGTTTATAATTAGAGGACAGAAATTAAGTTATTTCTTGATAGTTTCTTGGCACCATAAGATCTCTACCTATTGAAGAAACATTTTGAATATTCAGTGGAATCTCAGTACCTTGCCCTAATGGTTGGAAGATTACTGAGAAAAAGCTGTTCGCTTGGGAAGACATTTTAAAAGGTACAAATTGGGAGACTGCTATCTCTTTTCTTCTTCTTTCCCAGTGTCTTCATGGACAGATAATCTCAAATGGACTTTGTATGACAGCATTTCAACTATAGTAATTATTACTTGGCATATGCCATGAAAGTCACTTTTTTACTTTGCTAAGAGGTAGGTAAGCACAGATTTTTTGTGTGCATGTTCACAGGGATTATGCAAAAATAATATTATCAGGCTTCCTTTCAGTGTTTTAGTAAATGCTGTACAGCAGCTACTGGAATACTCAAATTGGACCAGATGTCATAATGCCAAACTCTCATCCCAGCAGAGTACAACATTAAAAAAACTGTTACTTTTGTTTTTAATTTACTACTCTATGGATGAGAGAAGTCCCATCTGCTTACTTTATTTTTAAATGAAAACATAAATGTTGTCCTGCGGTGACATTAGACTAGATATTACATAGAGACAGAGACCCCAAGCAGCTAAAATTTACATCTAACAAATATGTTTTCTTACATACAACCATCTGCATGATAAAAGCAATGAGTAAGTTTGTGAAGCTAGTGTAAACAGGATTCAAAGTGTGACCCATTTTGGTGCCACTGGGAGTAAGCATTACAGAATTTTAGGAAAGCCAGAACCATAATTTCTCCTATGGGAGATGTCTGGTCACACAGGATAAAGGGAAAATCAACTGCTGGAAAGATCAGATCTGAAGACAGTAGCAATTCAGCACAGCTAAAAGCATACAGCTTTTGAAGGATTTCTTAGGACTTCAGAACCACCTCTAAAATATTAAGCCTGTCTCTGATCCTATGACAGTGGGAGTTCTGGTTTCACAACCCACTGTTGTAAAAGAGTAGCTGAACACAACAGAGAAATGAAGAGATGTACTCTTTTCATTTTGAAAGGAAAGGGGAAAAGATGATGGGGATATTAGAATGTTCTTTCCCTCACAAGCACAGTTCTTTGATTGCCAATGGAAGAAAATAAAAATGAGCATGTCAGAATGGTTTTCAGGGATTACTATTAATGAAAGCATCCATTTTTTTCTGTGGGGAGGTAGTCCAGCATGGACAGTTTTGATAACTTGCTAATGCTTAACTTTTCAGAAGAATGTGTTCATGACTCAGAGAGTAAATTTCAGACAATTTGATTTTTTGCATTTTCTTCCCACTGGAGCTACCTTTCTAATACCTAAACTTTATGGCTTCAAGCCTACAACTTCCTTCAAATCAAGCCTGCTGAGATCTGGTGTAAGAACCTGGCAAATTCTGCCTAAGTAGGACATTCAGGAGTTGAACTGCTCTGTCTCCCCTTACAGAAACATGGAGAGTGTTTCGGTGTTTTATTTGCCAGTGATAATGAATACACTTGCAGGATGAACAGTGGCTTTTTTATGGTCTAAGATTTTTCGATGCTGGTGCTTTCTTCTATTTAGAATAACTGCCAGACTCAACTGAAGGTGTTCAGTAGTACTCTTTCTTTTCCAACATATAAGTAAATTAAAATGAGTTTGTGCTTTGTGTGTTGTGTCATGGAATCATAGAATCATTTAGACTGGAAAAGATCATCGAGTCCAAACACCTAACACTGCCAAGTCCACCACTAAACCGTGTCACTAAGCACCACATCTACACGTCTTCTAAATACCTCCAGGGATGGTGTCAGGTAAAGACCCTGCACGTCAAATGCTTCTGATTTTGCATCCGTATACAAACTTCATCATGCATATATGTCAAGAGCCTCATTTTGTATTCCTCACTGGTTCCAAATTTTCCCTCCCAGCTGGCGGGAGCTGTCTGCATTCCAAGTGTATGGCTCTGGGTAGGCGCCTTCGGCGGTTGTGTGTGAGGCCTGAGATACGGGAAGAGCAGCCGTGGCCTGAACCGGGCTCTGGCAGGGGGAGACCCGTGATGAGCAGAGTCAGAGACATCACCTGCTCGGCTATCATGGAACAGTTTAAAACTAGAAAAAAAAAACCAAAAAACTATAGTACAAACTAGAGGATTAACCACAGCATGGGAGTCTAGTTAACTCAAAGGGATTCTTGACACATTCCATTCAGGAGCGCAGACAACAATTTAGGTATAAATCCCCCTTTTATTTTGCCTTTGGAACCCAGTGTTAAATGGATGACTTGATAAGGGACTGACTGCTGCCATAATTGAAGACCCCACACATCTGGGCTGAAAATGAACATCTGATACACTGAACTATTTTGTAAAACCTTGTATTTAAGATGTAAAACAGAAAACAAGGGGAAGATCAACAATCAGATCCCATCAAGAGGAAGTACCTGGTGAAAAAGGAGGATGATCTCATGAAAGTATTCTGCTGCTCAGGCATTGTGGCCAGGCTAGAACAAGCCATATGGGAAGATTTGGGAATTCAAGGAGACTTAGTGCCATTCCAAAGCATTCGAATGATATCTCACTAAGGAATAAATTAACAAGGCATTTCTTCAACCTCTATCAGTACTTCTGCAACGCTCCCCCATGTATGAAACAGCAATTTACATAAAGAAGCACAGAAAAGCCAAGACCATAGCTAATGCACTTACTACTTCTACAGTTTGGGGGGAAGAAAAAGAGAATTATTACCTTTTTTCACATAGTTAAATAAAAGGAATGGTTTGATGCCTTTGCAAGATAAAGATAAATATAATTTAAAATAGGAAGTGCTTGATGGGTCCTAGGTTTTAGCTCTTGGTGAATGACTGTACTCTTTAAAGCACTTCTGAAATGTGTCTTTCACATTTGAAAAGGTTCTTCAAAGTTCCTACTGTAGAGAAAAGTAAGAAAATATAATTATTTACTTCCACTCTGAATTAGTTTTAAAGCATTCTGACTTTTCAGAGTCTGAGAGCACAACTGCCAGTCACACTTTTTATCAGTCCGGATCTGAATAGAAGCCTTTTTGTCTTTAGTGAGTTTTTAGCAGATGCTCAGAGATTAGGAATCAGGAATTTGCAACATATAATCCGGCTGTGACTAGTTCCAGCTGTGGCTTTAGCAGGTCTTCTTGACTTTCTGATTCAGTAAAATTAATAGGGATTCTGCTATTTACCTTCTGGGCATATTGTAAAAATTAATTCTTTGATGCCCCTTGTAGATGGACAGAACTGTAACTGCTGATTATTAATATCCTTACATTCAGGGAATATTCAAAGACTCCCTTTCATGGAGCTATAGATTTCAAGGCCAGGAGGGCCTTGATCTTGTCTCTGATTAGCTCAATTAGTCTGCTTCCTTTTATATAATTTTCAGACCTTTTAATTGCACTTAACAATTGTTGTGAAACACAACAGTTAGAGATGCTTACTGAAACATTTTAAAATCATGTATATTAATGTAAATGCATACATTTTCATATATATGTTATGTATATATGGGCAAATGAGTGAAATTCCTAGTTTAGTGATTTAGCAATAAATTAGTGAAATCATTAGTATTTTTTGTGATTGGTAGGCTGCATTGCAAAACAAAGATTAAAGGACTTGGCAGAAGTCTTGCTCTCTCATATCCTTCCACTTCCATTTCCTTTCTCCTTGGAGATTGCCATAATGCAGCTCTGTGCATTTTCAGCTAGACTTTGCCAGATGTCTACTTCTTGCATATATTTGGAAGAAGTTAACTTTAATTTAATTGTGCCCCAATTGAAGAGAGTATCCCTATGCTGGCAAGTTGATTAAGCATGGTGGTAATTTTAATTATCTTCTTAGCTCTCACTGGAGTGCAGTTAGTGAAGCTGATGAAGTTAACCCCATAGATAAATATCCTTTTTAAACTGGGGCCTCAGACAAGAAGGATGAAGCTTTCTTTTCAACATCAGAAATTAGCCTTCACCTGTCTGAAGCCATTTCTTCTCCACTTCTCTATCCATCTGCAGATCAGTTGAATCACCTTTATTACTGGCTTTTTTTCCCTGGATAGGTTTGCACTTGCCTGTGATTCATTGCTGTCTTTTACCTGTGACAATGCTTTTTTTTTTTTTTTTTTTTTTTTTTGCCAGCTGTTCCCCTCTCCACATGACTAATTCTATTGTGTAGGTTCAACAGAAATGGCACAAGGCCAGCATTTAAAGGATGCAAGTTAGTGCACTGAAGATTTGAGGCGATACAGTGACAGTTTTACATGTCACATTCATGGTAAAATCATAGAGATACACAGGGCTAACATTTCGTTTAAGAATCAAACACATGAAGATACCGTTTTCAAGCATTGCATTTAAGTGCCTTGTAACTCATTTAATTTTCTTTCTGAAAATACCCCGTCAGAAGCCTGTAGGAGAAACACCAGCATAATTTAAATGTCACTTTGCTTCCCAATAATGAATTTTATATTCAGTCATTCTACTCCTGACAAGGCTCGCATCTCTGCTAGAATCTTTGTGGTCATTTGGCCCTGTTTTCAGCTTGGGTGTGCACAGAAGCTTGAGTGCACTTTTGTCTACTTAATCGTCTGGGTTTTAATTAACACAAAAGAACGATAGCTTGGAGAGAAGAACAAAGAGGGACTCCATAAATGAGAAAGTCATTCACAAAACAAAGGCAAGAGGTCCTTACTGTAATGGAATTGTAACATCCCAGTATGCAGCATCTGAACTTTTCTGACGTTTTATGAATACCAAGCTGTCTGCAGACTTTCTGTGCATCTCAGATTATTAATAAATACAACAGGATTCCTGCTCGCCTTATAAATACACACACTCAGCATTCAGCTGAGACATTCAACTTGCCCTGCGTCTCCACCCTGGCAAAACATCTGAGAACAGTTCAATTTAAGGTGGTACAAAAAACAGCCCCTGATATACATAGATATATGCGTATATTTACATAGTGCCTCATGCCCTGAGGGACAGAAAGCTTGCTGTGGCGGTCCAGCAGCATAATCCTGACTCATTTTCTTATAAAACTATCAAATGGACACAGGAAAGCTCAGCATGTTCACGTTCAAGAACAGTGTGGGAGAGAGCAAAATATCTGCGTACATTTGTAGGTCTTGAAACTGCTCATTTCACCCCAAAACACTGTATAAAAATTATTCTCTTTAATCCAAACCATAATTCGGGCATACCTAGGGTGACACACAGCCTCTGCTTATACAGTAAAAGGAAACAACATATACCAGCTAAGAGGGGTGAGTAAAGGAGAGTTTTTCCTCCAATGGCAATTTAGGCAGGAAGAATATGATTACTGACAGCACAATCTCACCTCTGGGATCAAACTTACAGTCATGCCCAGCACTGAAACTACCACATGAATTTCCCAAATTCCTCCATTTTGTATCTCATTTGCAGAAAACCACCTCCAGTTATACAAAGACACAAACATACTCTGAGAGGCTGCATCAGGCCTGTGAGAGATTTGTTCTCGTTATTGATTCCTCATTACAATTTCTGCAGCCCCTGAGATATCCTTTGAGATCTAACATTAGTACTGGCCAGGCCAAATCTTGCTTCACTTATAAAAGCTGATGCATTTACATCTTAAGGGAATATTGATCTATTGAAAATAATTTCTGTTTTGTTTTGAGCAAGCTGAAATTCCAGGGGAGAGAGACAGGACAGCAAAATCCTTTGCCAGTGCTTATGAAAAACATCACAATAGAATAGTATCGCTCTGAAAACTTGCAAAGTGAATTGAAAACTTTATGGCAAATGTAATATGCAGGGGAAGCTCACACATAAAGAGTGCAATTTATATATGGCACCTCTTCTTAAGTGAGCTTGAGCAATGCCTGGCACAACTAACCCTTCACGATATCGTTGCTGTTTATTTGTTTACAAAGGACTTAAGAGGCTGGAAAAGAAAGGGGAGATGCAAAAGGATAAACCCACTGAAAAGCATCTTTCCCTCTTGCTGGTAAAGAATTCAGAACAGGTGCTGTCAGCCTGTTACTGTTTCTATCAGCCAATATCAAAAGCAGTTGGCAATGCTCTCATCATGCAAAAATTCCAATCAGATTTCTCAGTATATTCTAATTACTGTACTGACACTTGTTGTGGGCCTAAATGACTACCTTATCACGGCAGATTTCTATTTAGGGTTTATTTGGTCTTAAATTTCTGCTTCCTCTAATTGCACATCTATCTTACCAAACAAATTTAGAAGTCTGCATTTACTCTTTGCCACCTCATGCTTTAATCTTTTGCATGTTAAGGGTTATCAGTCATCTCTCACCTACATTTTGATTATGTCCACCCCAGCTTCACCCCAAGAAAACAAACTTGATTTTCCTTTCTGCACAGATTATCACTTTGCCAAGGGATTAATCCAGATACTGGTTGTGCTGCGGGCTTTGCTGATGGTACCCATATACAGGTACTTATTGGGAGCTCTAGCACAGGAATGTCACTTTGAAAAACCTGTTTCTTTGCTATTGTGCCCCATATGAAAACATATATTTTTTAATATATAACAGCTAAAGACTGCACGTGCTTTTCCACCCTGAAGGTCTTAATTTCATTCATACCTATCAAAAGCAACTGGCAATCACTTTGCAAAGAAGCCGCCAAGAACTAACTGTGGCACAGTTAATTGATGCATATTACTTCACTCAGAAACACTGAATGTATCGCTTATTTTCCTGATCTGGACCTGTTTCAAATAAGCTGGAGAGCAATACAGACTTCTGATTTCAGCAGATATTGGATCATATCCCTAAAATGCATATTATTACTACTTAGAAACAAGCATTTATATACAGCAATATATGCATAAAAGCAAACTACATTTTGCATTCACAAGCATACTGGTCAACATGAGTAAATGAATAAATTTAGGAAAATATAATAAGTGGGAGTATATTGCTGTAATTTCCATTCCTCATTTTGCTGTGCTGCAGTTGAATTTTACTTCAGAGATTTTAATTGTTTGCTGATCAGACCATGGATT